TGGCTCTGGAAAACTGTCAAATCAATGGGGCCACATGTTCTAGGACCCCGAGCCTTTTCGGGAAGGCTTGGGGCCCAGACCGCCTCCTTGTCAAGAGCTCCACCTCTCGCTCCCCTCCCTCCTCTCCCTGCCCTTCTGCACGGTATCTGCGCAGTGTCTGCGGCGTCGTCTGCAACACAAACTCACTATATAATCGAGCATTTCATCTGCTCTTGCGTGGTGTTTTCGAGTCATGAGGCACGGCACCACACCGCACCACATACATCCACACGCGTCCATTGACAACCACCCTGCACAATCCTACACCACCCTACACCACACCACGCCTGCCATACCACACCACAGCACATCACGCGGTGTCCGCGGTGTTTGCGCAGTGTCTGTGGTGTCGGCTGCCCGTCGTGTGCAAACGCTACGCATTTAAGCTATTCTGTACTCTGCCTTTGTCGGTGTTCGGACTTCTGAGGCACCGCACCACGCGACGCCATGCCAGACCACACCACATGCACCCACAGGCACCCACAGACAACCACCCTGCACCACCGTACAACGCGCCACCCCGCACCCACCACACACCACACACCACACACCACACACCACACACCACACCACACCACACCACACGACATCACACCACACCACACCACGCCACACACAATCACACACAATCACATATACCCATAGACGCCCCGCATACCCACCCAGTATGAAGTTGCTTTGTGCACACGTCACGCACGACACGACCACGAAGCACGATTTCCAAGTGGGGGCAGCTTGATGCAAGCTTTGCACAACCCAATGTCCAATGACGGGGAGAGGGGGGATGGGAAAGATAAGGTTGATACGTTGGAGGACGTGATGGGCAAGCAGGGGCGGTGGGTGCTGGGGGAGGGAGGATGACGACGACGATGCCGATGATGATGCCGATGATGATGATGATGACGATGAGGATGACGATGATGATGAGGAGGAGGAGAAGGAGGAGGACGATGAGGATGAGGATGAAGATGAGGAGGATGAGGATGAGGATGAGGATGAGGATGAGGATGGTGATGTTTATGATCCTGATGATGATGACGATGATGATGATGCTGATGATTACGATTCTGATGATGATGACGATGATGATGAGGAGGAGGACGCTGCTGATGATGATTATTATTATGATGATGATGGTATGGTGATGCTGATGCTGATGCGAATGATGATGATGATGATGATGATGATGATGATGATGATGATGATGATGATGATGATGATGATGATGATGATGATGATGATGATGATGATGACGATTAGGATGATAATGATGATGCTGCTGCTGATGATGATGATGATGATGAGGAGGAGGAGGAGGAGGAGGAGGATTATGTAGGGACACGGGGCCTGTCGCTTTCGATATCTTTGTGGCCAGGCACAAGATCGCGACCGCATTCGGGCCGCGCAGGCGACGGTCGAGGCGCGTCACGGCTCGCCTCCGATTGGTGCAGGCGCACCTCGCCGCCGCGATTCAGGCTGGACGGCGCGCTGTGCGGGCATGTCGTGCCGTCCGCCTCTCGCGCTCCGCCCTCCTGCTCGCGGCGCTCTCGCTGGCCGCGCACGGGTCGTCTCTTCCCCCGTGCCCGTTCTTTTCCTTTCTCTCATCCATCCATGCTCCCAGGCGCAGGTCAAGGTCGGCTTCTTCTTTAGGTTCGACGCGGACGAGTTCAGTCGAATTTTTCCTCCTGGCCATCTCTTGGCAGGCGCGCGCGCGGTCGCGCCTGTTCGTCGTGGCGTTGAGCCAGCTGCGCGGGCCCTGGTGGGCTGGCTGTGCGCCGCGCGTACATACTGGCGCGAGGCCCGGCGGGCCTCGCTCTTGTGTGCGACAGAATGATGCAAGTCCCTGTGGACTCTGCTCCAGCGGCGCGCGCCCTGGTGGGCCCTGCGCTGGGTATCATGACCTGACAAGAGCCTGGGCGGGCACAGCGCTAGTGGCATGAGCCCCGGCTGGCCCCGCTCCAATGCGAATGTCTTGGCCCGTGTCCTAGTGGGCATGGCGCCAGTGGCGCAAGCCTGGTAAGCTGTGCGTCGAGATGTTGTCCTGGCACGCGCCCCTGCGGGCACTGCGCCAGCGGCGCGAGCCCCGGAGGGCCCTGCGCCGATCTGGGCCGGGCCCCGGTGTGTTTGGCGCCAGCGGCGCGAGCCCCGGTGGGCTTTGCGCTGACTTGTTGAACTGGCGCGCGCCCGGTGGGCAGTGCGCCAGCGGCGCGAGCCCCGCTGGGCCTTGCGCTGTGTTGCTTGGTGTGGTATGAGCCCTGATGGGCGCTGCGGCGCGGGCCCTAGAGGGCTTGGTGTTGAAGTAAGTTATCTGGTCCGCGGCCGACGACGCGAACCATGTCGGGCCCTGCGACGTCTCGGACGCCGTGCGTTGGGTCGCCGAGCGCGCGCCTGGCGTTGCCCGGGGGTCGCGCGAGAAGGCCGCTTGGCGCGTTGAGACGCGCGCCCGTCAGTTGGGGCAGAGCGGCGCGGTTGCAGAGCGGCGCCGCGGCGCCGACGCGGGCGTCCGCGCGGTTGCCTGACGTGTAAGTGGGCCGCTGCTCCGCGAGCTGGCCGTCAGTGTCGGCCGCGTCGACTGCGAACGCGTCGAACTCACCCGCTAGGTGCGAGCGCGCGCGCGGCCGTCGTGGCGCGGCAGGCCTGTCCGTCGCGCGCGAGGGGGCGCTGTTGCTGGGCTACTTGCCGGCGTCGGGCATCGGCGCGCCAGATTTTCCCGCGGGCTAAACGTGTTCGGGGCCTCGCGAGGGGCCCGCGCCAGCGCCGCCATCATCGCGTCGGGCGAGCGCGTTCGCGAGCGGTTCTCAGGCGGCGGGGCCGCGAATAATCTCATCGCCGAGCGGCTGCGCGACAAAGGGGGTGCCGCTGAATTGTGGGTGACTGCGAACGAAGGTTGCCGGCCGTGGCGCGCGGGGGCGTCCCAGCGCTTGTCGGACCTCGACCTGGACAGCGTCAGTCTCGTCCCTTGGTTTGGCGTTGACGGCTCACGCAAGGCGCGCGGTCGACGCGCCCGTCGTTCGCCGCGCGTGGCTGGCGCCCGATCCGCGGCAGGTGCGAGTCGTCGACGACTGTCCACTTGCAGACATTAGCTGCGCCGCGCGGCCGCGTGAACGCATGCAGCACGATGCTGTCGAACCGCTGGGGCCAGCAGGTTTGGACGTGCCGCGCCTGTTCAAGCTCGATATCGACGCGGCCTTCGGCGGATCCTTCTTCGGCCAGAGCGCGGGGAGCTGCCGCGCTTCGTTTCCCAGCGCGGCGGCGAGATTTCGGCGCGCGCCAGCTGGGCGTGCCCTGTCAGGGCAGGCGCGCCGCGCGCCGCCGTCGCGCGGGGCGCGCCGTCGGTCTCGCGCAGTTGCGAGCGTGCACAATTCGGGGCGCATCGGCGTTCTTATCTGCGCGATCCTCCGCGGAATGCCCAACGCGGCACTCTTTCGTTGCGTGGGCGACATGTTTGGCGCCGAGAGACGCGCCGAGGCGCGAATCGAACCTCCGGCTGGCCGCCGATTGCTGTCGGCCGGCCGCCGCGCGGAAGGTCGAACATCTGCTGGTTTGCATCGCCCGCAGGGCGCGGTGTTGACCGGGTCAATCCACGCTTGCCGACGAAAAAATGTCATGCGCTGTCGCGCTCGGCCCCTGTGGACTAAGCGCTGATCTCTCGGCAGAGGGCATGGCGCGCGCGCCATTGCCAGATAGCATTTGCGAAGGGGGCCGCCCAAATCCAGGCGACGTTTGATTCCGGCAAGCTGCGAGCAGGCGCGAATGCATTCCTCTCCGCGTCCGGAGTCGCGGCGCGCTGCTGGGGGGCGCGGGCATACTGGCGGGCGCCCTGTCCTGCACCTCGGGAAGCATGTTCAATCGCGCGGGGCGGGCAATGCTCAGGCGCGAGCCCAGCGGCGCGCTCCGCCGGCCAATCCGCCCACTCCGTCTCGGCCTCTCAGGCCGATCTTCGCGCGGGCGCATCGCGAGTGCCCGACCGTGTGGCAGGAGTTGCGACTTGCGCTGCGCTGGTGGCGACTCGTATTGAGCGATGAATTGGCGCAGTCGCGCAAGTGGCGCAGCGACGTGCCGGGCCCCGTGGCGCGCCGCCTGCGACGCGGCTGGCTGCCCGCCAATGGCGGCGGCCGTGTTGTGCGCCGACGGGGGATGTTATTGGGCGAGTATGGCTCCAGCCGCCAGGCACGGCAGCGCGCGCTCGAGCCCGCTGCCCGCGTCTCGCGACCGCGCGTTCGCCGGGATCTTGAGAGAGTTTGAGGACGGTGAGACAACCATATCATAGGTCTGGGACTGCTGAGCATTGCCTCTGGCCTGTGCTCATTCGAATCGGCGATTCTGCGTCGACGGATCGTGACTTGGTTGGACAGTGCGGGCGCGCAGGCCGCCGCGGGTCGCGGCGTTGCGCGCGCGTTCAATCGCGTGTGCCTGGCGCGCTACCCTCTGGGTCAAGATCGCGCCCCTTCGATGTCTCGCCCGCGTGGAGCGGGTGCCGACGGATGAATGAACTAGCGTTGGGCGACGGATTTTTCTCATGAGGCGCCAGCGGCGTCGAGTGGTTGGCGAGAAAGCATCGGCGCCGTCAGAAGCGCTGGGTCTGGGCAAGATGTCTTTAGCAGCCGGGAGTGAGGAGATGCGTATTCATGTTGGGTGCGAGCCGCGTGCGGGGGCGTTGGTGGGGCCCGCGAAACAACGCGTGACTAGTCTGACAGTTGGTGACCAAGCCCCCTTCCCCCGAATAACCTTGCCGGCGGCGGGCTTGGGCGCCGCGGATCCGATTTCCGTTCGTCAGTTGGTCTCATTAATTTTAAGCGGCGTCTGAATCGGATCCGCGAGAAAATAATAGGGCGGTCGCCGGGCCCGCGGCGTCCGAAATCGGATTCGCGCGGAGAAGAATTGAATCCGCCGCGGCAAGTCCGAACCATATTCGGATCGACGCCGATTTCATTTCCGCCAGGATTTATTTTATGCGCGCT